ACATTGCATTCGCTGGTTCATGGTTGGGCCATGTTTAGCTCCTAAAGCAAGTAAAGTTCTTTCAATTTGACGAGGCGAGATTTTAACAACATAACTCGCAGGACTGCTGTATTTAGCACACGCGCGACTGTAATGATATGAAAAATGAGCCGTCCACTCATGCCTATATATAGTCATCGTGTCCATAGATACGTGAAGCGACGCGTATCCATAGATACGTGTAGTGACGCGCAAGTTATTCTATTATGAATTCATTTTGTTCGGCGCGCGGCGTAAGAATTTATTTTGACCATATAAATGTTCATAACTGTTTATGAGAACCTGCGCTGAGTTTTTTGAGAAGGGCGACATTCGATTGAGCATTTTTGCTATCCAATGGTATAAAATGTAGCACCAGCGCAATTATCGCTCAATAATCTTATTTCTACGCGCAGCTCTCAGCGGGAAAAAATGGATTTAAAAATCATTTGCTGAAATTTAAAAAACGTCAAAAAAATTGAAAAAATTCGGATTTTTGATGGTTTTGAATGCCGTCGAGCGTTCATATTAATGTCCGTTCATAATTATGTCCGTTCATGTAATGTCCGTCCAAATAAGGTCCGATAAGGTAGTAGTTAAAACAGATTTCGTAATTTATTTCAAAATGTGTGCCTTTTTCAGCGTAAGATTACATTTTTTTTATTCTTAACCAAAATAAAATGTTTAAGTCATTTGATTCACTCATTTTTATGCTATATCCCAGTAATGCAATTATAGCAATGGTATCTCTAAATTCTAATAATGAACGATCCTAATTTTATACAAAATCCTTGATTCATTGAAATGTTCATTAAAGCAGATATTGGTGTGATTGAACGGTGAACCTTCAAAAAAATAACCGATCAGTTTTGAATTGCATATATTTTTTATATCCAACCATTTTGTCAAGAAATTATGTAAATCAGATGTTTTTTAATGTGTCAAATCCTCTATTTCTTATAAAAAACTTATATATATTTGAATATCTCAGAAAATTGAATTTAAGAATATATGCGGAATCCGAAAAATATGCAAATTAGGAATGTTTTTCACTGCACTGTAAATCACAAATTAATAAACGAATAATTAATAATTAATAAACTTATATTTAATAAACTAAAATATATTTGACGTCTTCATACCTCGTGGATGGACCAGGTGCAGAGTCCAATGTACTGACTGTAAACATATCTGGCTCCTTTAAAGAATGGCACAATGGAAACAAGTATCGGTAGGATCCACATGACTATCATGTATCGGGATACTAAGGTTCCTTGGACCAGTCTCTTGAAGTGCATTGGTCGGGTTATTGCCAGCAGCCGGATCAAACTCAGCCCTATTGGGGAATATTGATTTGTAAAATTATCAAGACATAATAAAAAAGATACCGGCATAAACATCATAAAATATTATGAATGATTTATGTCGACATTAGTTCGGGAAACATTATCATTTATCACCATTGGATTCATTATAGTTATTATGATGCATTGTAGGTATTGATGATTGTAGATATTGATACATTGTAGATATTGATGCACTGTAGATATTGATGCATTGTAGTTATTATGATGCATTGTAGATATTGATGCATTGTAGATATTGATGCATTGTAGTTATTATGATGCATTGTAGATATTGATGCATTGAAGTTATTGATGCATTGTAGTTATTATGATGCATTGTAGATATTGATGCATTGTAGAATTTGATGCATTGTAGATATTGATGCATTGTAGATATTGATGCATTGTAGATATTGATGCATTGTAGAAATTGATGCATTGTTAATATTGATGCATTGTAAATATTGATGCATTGTACATATTGATGCATTGTAGTTATTGATGCATTGTAGATATTGATGCATTGTAGATATTGATGCATTGTAGATATTGATGTATTGTAAATATTGATGCATTGTACATATTGATGCATTGTAGATATTGATGCATTGTAGATATTGATGCATTGTAGATATTGATGCATTGTAGATATTGATGCATTGTAGTTATTATGATGCATTGTAGTTATTATGATGCATTGTAGTTATTATGATGCATTGTAGTTATTTTTGCATTTTAGTTATTATGATGCATTCCTTGGAAGTCATTTTAGTGATGACGATCCGATGGATACACCGGTTCCCGGGTTCCAATTATGATACCTCAGATTCACTGGTTGACCAAATACTCGGCTCCACTTTAAATGGTGGTTAATGACGCCAATGTTTAAATGCAGATTCCATGACTGTATAATTTCGAAGTTCACAAATTTAAATTTCTCTAGAAATTGTTAGTTTCGAAGCATTGATCCTTCATCAATTAAACCAAATTTAAACAGTTTTAAAACTGACAGATTTAACTCAACATCAAACTCTTACCTGCGATAGAGAGAACAACATGTCTGAGAGTGACGTTAAACACGAATCCAGTGACATTGCATGCAATTTCAGATAACCATCCTGACCCCATGTATCTATAGTTCATCGATGGTAAATACGTCAAAAAATCGCCTGTAAATACGCCGTATTCAAAAATTCTAAGAAATACGTGAAATACGGCAAAATTTGGCGCTTAAATTCTTTGATGGTAAAATTTTTCAAAATACGCGCGTATCTCTTTCGAAATACGTGATTACAGATTAGTGATATTTGCGCGTGCGTCGCTGGCCCAGTGGTATATTAATATAGCAATACTGACAGTCGTTTTGGAGACTTCACGGTGCTCGAATGAAAACGCTGCAGCGACTTGCTATTCTTATGCTGAACCAACCAATCAGTCAGTCTGCTGCAGAGCAGAGCTTCTCAGGTTATAAAGCAGTTATGCCTCCCTCGAGGAATAGACTTTCAACCGAGACCCAGTTCCAGTGCATTTTTATCTATTACAATATTCGCAGACTAAGATCACAAGTCTCTCTTGCTTGAATTTTGAAACCGGTTACCGGATTAACACGGACTTCCCAGTGGCATAAGTTTAAAAAGTGACTAGGAATCCAGCCTGGAAAGAAAGAACGGCTATAATAAACTTTTAAAACGGCTATAATAAATTTTTCGGCCGGATGACGATTTCATTTCACCTTGCTAGTTATATTACAGAGGTATTTTTAGTTATTCATTAGTTATTCATAATTGCCAAAAAGTATGGGAAAAATTATCCTATCCGAGTCACGAACTCGCAATCTGCTGATTTGGAGCTAGCGTATTAACCAATTAGGCCACGATTCCATATGCTGTGATGTAATATTTATATATCGATCTTCGCGCGTTACTGCAACTTAATTTGAAATACGTAATTTATCATCGGGAAATACGTATGCGTAGTACCTACGCGTAGTCTCCCCAAAACGCATTTACCATCCTTGCTATAGTTAGCTACGCTCACCAACGAGGCAATCATTGGGAATATTGTGTAGAGGAAATCGCTGACAGAGGTGCTGAAAGTGTAAAAATCAGGTTTCGGTTCTTAAATTTTCCTTTTTTATTCAAATCTCTGCAATCTCGATATGTTTAAAAGAAAAAAATTCGATATCTATGGCCCTGTTTTAATTTTGGAAGATTTAAATAGTTAACACATATAGATTGCAGCGGAATCAAGCAGAAGAATTGCCAGTGAGCCATATAAAATTGTACCTATCCGGACGTTCACTTACTTGAATACGATTCTGAGAGACGGGTTCATGAAATGAGCCGGCTTCCACTCTCTCCAAATGTTTCTCAAAGTGTAAATATTTAAACACATTGATAGGATAATCAAAACAGCCAGTACCGCACTGATACAAACGTCACCTCGCCTCCTGAAAATTTCCGCCACGTTCATTGCTTCCTAAGATATGAGATGATTGTCAAACGTATAATAATTAAACTTCGAAACACTCAATCAGTAAAATGAATGATATGGATTATGACATTTTGCTGAAAGTGCAGTTTACTCTTAATCGAAGTTTGTATAGTAGCGGTTCAGTACCATGATGAGCTCGGTCCAGTGCACGCTCTTTTTTGCCAAATCCTTTGATCCTTTGCCTCAAAATAAATTCATAAAATGAGAAATAAAAGTTTAGGCAAAATATGGCAATCAAATATTAAAAAGGACGAAAATTAATGCATTTATTATAAGCTGCAACAAGACGAGCTCTTTTAGTAATGTAAAATAAAATATTTTTAATTTTACCAAAACCCATAATCATGTGTTTATGACGTCAAATAAATTTTTTATACAATGTAAACTAAAGTGTAAACAATTATTTGCAAGACCTGTGGTCGGAAATGGCTGTATCTTTTATACTTTTGAATCTATGGACACTTAAATACAGGCTACAATTGACTGGCAAAGCGTCTATCCCTGAATATATATGTATATCTGTATGTATATGTCCCGACAATCTGTCGTAAAACAGGGGTTCTAGAAAACCCATTTCCCGATGCTCCTGAAACCTGAAACTTTTTTTGCAGTCAATTTGGTCAACGTTTAGACGCCCTGAAAAATTTCAGATCTCTAACTCAATTTTAACATGGTTTTTAGGGCACCTGAATATGGCGATTTTGGGTTTTTTACCGAATTTCGTATAACAGTGCTGGCGAGTATTTTATGCAAATTTCTTAAAAATCTGAACATAACTATTTTTTATTCCTGTCATCTTTGACATCAAATTAGAATGTTTTGAACTAAAAATAAATCTGCTGAACGACTTCCGATGAGTCTTAATGCCTGGAAAACTCCTGCCGGAGGCGGCGGCCTTCGGCCGCCGCCTCCGGCCGGAGTGCACGCTTTGCGTGCACAAAAGAGGCTTGTAACGTGTACCAAAGGGGGTATAATAGTAAAAGGGGTATAATAGTAAAGGGGGTATAATAGTAAAGGGGGTATAATAGTAAATGGGGAACATAGTATACCCACAATAAATGCAACGGTCGTGCTTGCCAGCACTGTGATAATAGTTTTAAAAGGTTTTTAAAGGTTAAACTAAGTTTTTTTTAGATTGACCGTATGGGTAACGCCAGCGGCGGAGAGACGACAACATCGCCCTCCGTAATGTTTACCTCAGCTACAGGACGATCCCTGTTTGCTACACTCCTCATCAGCTTCGCCACCTTTAACATACGTGGCCTCGGTTCTTGTGATGATCCAGACGACATCCACAGCAAACGGGAGCAACTGGGTACCGATTGTCTACGGTACGGCATAGATATCTGCGCTATTCAGGAGACTAAGGTTGTAAAACCGGATTCTTGCAGTCTTAGCAACGGATACAAACTCTTATTGTTTGAGCAGAAAAATGGCCGGCACTATGGACTCGGTTTTGTTATCAGTCCCCGATTTATTGACTATGTGGTATGCTGGAACAGTATCAGTGATCGAGTAAGCTTTTTGGACCTAGAACTCCCTACAAAATCAGGAAAATTTATCAAATGTAGGGTGGTCAATGTATATGGGCCACACAAGAAACTTGCAGAAAATGATCAACAACTGTTGATCAACTTCTACGGCCAAGTTAGGGACGCTCTAAATGTCCCTGCTAATGTTGAGATATTTGTTTTGGGGGATTTTAATTCAAAGTTGGGAAAAATGACTACTTCAGATAAGGACTTTGGTTTTGGTCGTTTCATGGGTAAACATGGTATGGGTTTGCGCAACGATATGGGGGAAAACTTGTTAGACTTGTTATCAGAATTTGACCTCTTTGCCTCCAACACTGGTTTTTATCATCCTGCTCGACATACGACCACCTACACTGGCTGGAGGAAGGACTGGAGTGCCGGGCGAAATAGTAAAAAGACGATCCCGGTCTATTCTCAGATCGATTTCATCCTGTGTCGGAGTAGGTCGAAGCCAATGCTACAAGATTCTAGATCTTATGCAGGCACTTTGACATACTCTGATCACAGATTTGTTGTCACTAGAGTAGACTTTAAGGACATCTGTCTTTGCTATAAACGCCACTCCAAGACATCCTTAAAGTTCAACACCTCTGAACTCACCTCGAACCCCACCATTCAGGTGAAATATCGTCAATCCTTAGATGATAACTTAAGTAACACTGTTTCTGCTCTGGATCCAAATTCAGACTTGAATGGCTTACTTGAGTCCATAAAGGATGCTGCAAAATCGTCAATTGGTGTCATCAGACACAGGAAACGTAATCGCAGCGACGATGATGCAGATAACCTTGTGACGCATTGAGGCACTGAGGCACTTGAGGCAGCACTTTGAGGCACTTGAGGCACCATTTTGAGGCCCTGAGGCACTTGAGGCACCACTTTGAGGCCCTTGAGGCACCACTTTGAGGCCCTGAGGCACTTGAGGCACCAATTTTCAACTCTTGATACATCGTACAGGGTTAGAAACATAATATGATGATTAATGGATTGATCTCGTGACTAACTGACTTACTAGACTAATCATTACTCAGTACTCGTCCAAATTATTGTGCCGATAATGTTCAACGGTTCAAAATGTAAAACATTATTCTTATTTATATTTGGAATTTGGATGCTCATTTCTAAACATTACTTATTATTACTCAAATTTCACCGCTGAACTTGAAGATGCATAAATATGGGGTAGTTTAAAATTTAAATATTACGTTTTCAATGTTTTGAAATATTTACACTTGAGAGTGCCGCAAATTGGCGCCTCGAGTGCCGCAGTGCCCCGAAATGTTGTCCCAAATGCCTCAAAGTGGTGCCTCAGGGCCTCAAAGTGGTGCCTCAATGGCCTCAAAGTGGTGCCTCAAGTGCCTCAGGGCCTCAAAGTGCTGCCTCAAGTGCCTCAAAGTACTGCCTCAAGTGCCTCAGTGCCTCAATACGTAACAAGGTTGTCTCAGGCCACAAAATCAAGGCTAAAGAAATTTTCAACCCGATCAATATTGATCGTCGGCTTGACAAGAAAAACTAGACAGGAAGCCACGTATAGCACTATTGCTCTATTGTCATGACAACACTGTTCATGTCGTGACCAAAAGGGAACTCATCACCTTAGCATAGGAAAGTTGTGAAAATATTAAATCCATAAGCAATATGAATTTAACGTATAAGACTTGGAGTCATCCTCAACCTTTTTTTCAAAACCCTCGATTTCCAACTCAAAATTTCGACCCACTTAACTATAATGATCACCCTCTTAAGATTTAAATAGGCCAACATTTTTGTGAAAGTCCTTTACTGGTAGTGGTAACGCTCGCGGTTTATCAATGAAATGAGTTGACTTAACACTATTTTTATTATTTACTCCATATTAGGGAACAAAAAGAGCTCAAACATATTTGAGCTTCCAGACAGAAGAGTGGAAGCTTCTAGTAAATAAGTATAACTACACCACGGTTAGTAAGTAAATATAACTACACCACGGTTAGTAAATAAGTATAACTACACCACGGTTAGTAAATAAATATAACTACACCACGGTTAGTAAATAAGTATAACTACACCACGGTTAGTAAATAAGTATAACTACACCACGGTTAGTAAATAAGTATAACTACACCACGGTAAGTAAATAAGTATAACTACACCACGGTTAGTAAATAAGTATAACTACACCACGGTTAGTAAATAAGTATAACTACACCACGGTAAGTAAATAAGTATAACTACACCACGGTTAGTAAATAGGTATAACTACACCACGGTTAGTAAATAGGTATAACTACACCACGGTTAGTAAATAAGTATAACTACACCACGGTTAGTAAATAAGTATAACTACACCACGGTTAGTAAATAAGTATAACTACACCACGGTTAGTAAATAAGTATAATTACACCACCGTTAGTAAATAAGTATAACTACACCACGGTTAGTAAATAAGTATAACTACACCACGGTTAGTAAATAAGTATAACTACACCACGTTAGTAAATAAGTATAACTACACCACGGTTAGTAAATAAGTATAACTACACCACGGTTAGTAAATAAGTATAACTACACCACGGTTAGTAAATAAGTATAACTACACCACGGTTAGTAAATAAGTATAACTACACCACGGTTAGTAAATAAGTATAACTACACCACCGTTAGTAAATAAGTATAACTACACCACGGTTAGTAAATAAGTATAACTACACCACGGTTAGTAAATAAGTATAACTACACCACCGTTAGTAAATAAGTATAACTACACCACGGTTAGTAAATAAGTATAACTACACCACGGTTAGTAAATAAGTATAACTACACCACCGTTAGTAAATAAGTATAACTACACCACGGTTAGTAAATAAGTATAACTACACCACGGTTAGTAAACGGTTAATGAAGATTTAACACCATCCCAACTGGCTGAGGGATAAGGAGTCTAAAGATCCCCAACACTTTCTAAAAGATAGGGATTTTAAGTACAATTATAAAAAGTGGCAAAAAGTACTTATGTGAAAATAATGATAGTTTTCTTTTTTGCCGCCCCGGTAACATTAGTACCCTGAAATATTATTTTCGCGTCGACCGAACGTTCTGATAGTGAACCATACTCAATGTTTAAGTGTTTGAAACGTTGACTAAACAAAACAACCTCATCATGTTAAATTAGGTCGAAGCTACAATAATTATCCCTCCAAACTAAAGGAGAAAAGGTGTCATTGTCAAAAATATGTTATATAATATGTAATTGTAGCAAGCAATTGTTTATCTTACTGTTATATTTTCATCCGTTCAAATGGTTTATTTTGAGTTAAACCTCTTCAAGGAATGATAGATAATTACTTCATCAAAGTCAATAAATTTTGAATGGCATTTTTCTCCTTTGGATAAATATGAACTGTCGACGTTTCACTATACATACTGAGAACAGAAAATTGATATGTCGTCAAAAATAATTGGGAAACTTTCACACGGTGAACCTTCAATAATAATATAAGTAAAAATAAATGACAGTCGCTCTAAGACTAAATAAGAGGTTTGAATATTGCATTATTATAATACTAGTGTAACCCGGCCTTCAACCGGGACTTCACTATCGCAGTTGAAATGCAAAAGTATAAACCCGCCTATTATATTCGAAAACACGCATTACATTTTCGTAGTTAAAACGGTGCGAAAGTATGAACTCGCTCATTCCAAACATACCACAATTTAATTCTGAGTGCCCCTCACATATCTAATAGTAATTATACTTGATAAGCAATCTTGACTCTTGAGGTCACCTGTCAAATTACCTGATTATATATCAAATATATTATGAGGGGAGAAAGAGAGATAGAGCGAGAGTTGGATAGTACACACACACACACACACACACACACACACACACACACACACACACACACACACACACACACACACACACACACACACACACACACACACACACACACACACACCACACACACACACACACACACACACACACACACACACACACACACACACACACACACACACACACACACACACACACACACACACACACACACACACACACACACACACACACACACACACACACACACACACACACACACACACACACACACACACACACACACACACACACACACACACACACACACACACACACACACACACACACACACACACACACACACACACACACACACACACACACACACACACACACACACACACACACACACACACACACACACACACACACACACACACACACACACACACACACACACACACACACACACACACACACTTTAGTATCACATTTGGGTCACAAAATTATTAATTAAACCACTTAACACCAACTGATTTAAAAAACCCTCGTCATTTGGCTTCGTCAGAGTTTTTCCGGCACTATACCGAAAAAACCAGCCCCGTAACTCTTACCGTTTTCTTGATTAAACCGTTCGGAAATTTTCCGCACACAGACAGACAGACACACACATCTTGAGATTATTGTTTAAGATCTAGTTATTATACAAGAGGCGCAGCAGCATTGTTACAAATATCATAATATTGTTGTCGCTACCAATAATTGTTTATCTTAAACTTAGTGTTGCTTAGTTTAATAGTCTCATCTGTTGCAAATTTGTATATCTATAGTAAAACATTTACACAAAGGCTGAACAAAAAAGCTGAAATAAACTTTACTCAGGGGCTCCCCTTTTCGTTGATTCATGAGGAGCCATAACTTTGAATATCAAAAAGCAAGGTAACTATACTGAATCAGAATGAAGTTTATTAATGTTCTTCATATTATTATAGTTGATGGGTTTAAACTTTAACTTGTCAAATTCATGGCCGGCAGTTTAAAGTTTGACAATCTGTACGTGGATTTTCTTACCTCCAAGAAATTGTGACTGCGTTTGAAACCCATGTGATGGTCTCCGGTGCGTTACCTAAGGTTTCTTATAAGGCTATAGTATTTTATAACCGCTATACGGTATTTATTTATTTCATCTATAATATAAAGTGTTGAAATTGGGCAGCTAGGCTGAATTTTGTAAAATTTTCAGTTTGAAACAAATAGTTTAAAACATGCGACCAAAGTTTTGATAATTAATAAAATTAGAATTAGTTGAGCTCAATACAATAATAATAAGTTATTTTAACTTTATCGGTTAAAAGTTCGTCAATTGAATTTAAAAGTTCGTGGGGTTGATCGGTTCATAAGTTAGGTAATCGCTTTTAAAGGTTTTTGCTTTTAAAAGAGTGCTTTTTCCCAACTATGGCTTTATTTGTAAGTTTGTAGGCCTAGGTTTCCACGGCCACTGTATCGACAATTTAATAAAACAATTTAAAACAACTAGACCCATAAAGTATTAATCCATAAGTTACAAGCCATCAGGAGCCTCATTTCTCCGTTAATAAAACTACAGTTTAAAGTTGTTATTTCAAGCTTGGTTAGTAATTTAAATTTAGTTTGACAAGAAATAGGGCCAATAATTACGGCCAATTTATTTTATATATTATTTAATGCTGGCTGGAAGTGCAACATCCCTTCCGGCATTAATCTGACAGTAGTTTATATTAACAGTTAGTCACCCTTCCATTGCATCCAGTACTCTAGGTGCCAAATATGTCAAACATCGTAATATCAAACTTTAAAAGGTTATATACAGCGTTTCTAAGTTCTATGAGGTGTCACAAAACAATTCAGAAAATTAGCAATGTTCAAGCCACAATCCACACTGTTTACATTCCTTGATTTCCTAAGGCGCTGCATCTCTCTGATCTAGGAAGCGAAAACTTTGATCGCTAATTTGAGGGTG